ATCTACAATATAGATTCGGCAGAAAGACTCGAGCCACACAGTGTAAAGAACCCGAGGTGGTGAGGTAAAAATTTAAAGGTTAGCTCTAGCCTCAGTGCAATAACAGGGCAAAGATCAAAAAGGAAAATGTCGGACAATGAAATAATAAGAATTTCGAAGCTGAAAGGCATCGAAAACTGGGCTGCTTGGAAATTCCAAGTGCGCGTCACATTAAAATCTCACAGTGCATGGGACGTGGTAACGGGTCAAGACGTGAAACCTGAGCACCCGACGGAGGCAACCGAAGCGGCGGCTCATGAACGGAAACTCGCAGCCTGGATCAAATCTGACAATGTGGCACAGAAGATTATTGCGACAACGGTGGATGATCAGCCATTACTGCACATCATAAATTGTGAGTCCTCGAAAGAGATGTGGGATAAACTTATTTCTGTTTATGATCAGAAGTCGGAAACGAGTGTGCACATGCTACAACAACAATGGTATAGCGCAACTAAGAGCTCTTCGGACAGCATGGCAACTCACATTGCGAAATTGGAGGATCTTGCGCATCGTTTAAAAACCTTAGGTGAGCAGATTCCAGATTCAATGATAATTACAAAAATCTTGATGATCCTACCGTCTACATATAATCATTTTGTAAGCGCATGGGAGTCAACTCAGAGAGATGAGCGAACACTAACGAATTTAATATCAAGGCTCACAATAGAAGAAATACGACTGAACAATCAAGGCAAGTCTGAGGAGAAGGCTGAAGGGGAAGCTTTTCCTGCAGTCAAGGCACACGCGAAGAAACATCCAGAGGAGGACATACGCAAGGTGGATCCAGGGGTGGACGAAAACCAGGAAAATGCTACAACTGTCAAAAGCCAGGACATTGGGCAAATGAGTGTCGAAGCAAAAAACAGGTTAAGCAGCGAATGACAGAGGAACCGTCAACAGAAAAAACAAAAGGCGATGCTCTTATCGCAACACTAGCAGCAGTAACAGACAGGTCGGCACGTCGGACGGCATGGTATCTTGATTCAGGTGCCACAGATCACATGTCAAACAATCGTCTGTGGTTCACAAATTATAAGACACTCCATAAAGCACTTCCCGTACGTATAGGTAACGGTAAATACATATTTGCGCAGGGAACAGGTGACATAAACATTTTGGCTTTTGATGGAGAAGAATGGAACGAGAAACATTTATCAAAAGATCGGAAGAGCACAC